TATTCATGATAAGCTCCTTTCAACCACACCCGAGCGTTTGTTAATGAGGTTACTTTTGGAAAGCACCGTTGTCAGAAAGTTGGGGGCTGGTTGTCAGACGAACCAACTGTGGTTGGAGAGTTGGAACTTTCAGTTGCAAACCCCGGAACTCTGAAGAGGGAGAGGGGGCCGGGGGTTCCATCACCAATGGCTGATGGTTTACTCCACCATGAGGCCCATGCAGCAACGCCGCCATAAAGACCTATACAGTCCTATAGATGTGACAGCTGTGGCAAGGGATTCCGTAGCAGCACAGGTCTCACATTCATGGCAGAACTCACACTGGAGAGAAACCCTATAAATGTGAAGAGTGCGGCAAGGGCTTTGGTTAATCTTCGTGTTCATCAGAGGGTCCACAGGGGTGAGAAACCCTGTATCTGTGAGGAGTGCGGGAAGGGCTTCACTCAGGCCGCCCACTATCACATCCATCAGAGGGTCCACACTGGGGAGAAACCTTATAAGTGTGATGTCTGTGGTAAGGGCTTCAGTCACAATTCACCATTAATATGCCACCGGAGACTCCACACTGGAGAGAAGCCGTACAAATGTGAGGTGTGAGGGAAAGGCTTTACTCGAAATACAGATCTTCACATCCATTTTCGGGTTCACACAGGAGAGAAACCCTACAGATGTAAGGAGTGTGGGAAGGGCTTCAGCCAGGCTTCCAATCTTCAAGTCCATCAGAACGTCCACACGGGGGAGAAACGATTCAAATGTGAAACTTGTGGGAAGGGCTTCAGTCAGTCTTCAAAGCTGCAAACCCATCAGAGAGTCCACACTGGGGAGAAACCCTACAAATGTGATGTGTGTGGAAAGGGCTTCAGTTACAGTTCCAACCTTAAACTGCACCAAGTAATTCACACGGGAGAGAAGCCATACAAGTGTGAGGAGTGTGGGAGGGGCTTTAGTTGGAGATCAAATCTTCACGCTCATCAGCGAGTCCACTCAGGAGAGAAGCCTTACAAATGTGAGGAGTGTGGGAAAGGCTTTGGCAGGAGCTTGAATCTTCGCCGTCATCAGAGGGTGCACACGGGAGAGAAGCCCCATAAGTGTGAGGAGTGTGGTAAGTCCTTTAGTCTCCCCTCAAATCTTAGAGTCCATCTGAGTGTTCACCTTAGGGAGAAACTATTTACATGTGAGGAGTGTGGGAAGGGCTTCAGTCAGAGTTCACGTCTTCAGGCCCATCTGAGAGTCCACACTGGAGAGAAACCGTACACGTGTGACGTATGCGGGAAGGACTTCAGTCACCGCTCACGTCTCACGCACCATCAGAAAGTCCACTCTGGCAAGAATCGTTAAGAATGAGAAATGTGTTCATGCCTTCATTCAGATTGTACATCTAGCTTTTGGAGAGTCCATGCTGGGGATAAAACACTATAACGTTTTGAGAGTGGAAAGGGGTTTCTTCATCACTTGGAATCTAACAAATCCATAAAAATGATGATATAAAACCATAGTAACAGGAATAGGACTGATATTCAGGGGAGAAATATGTTGTAACCCTCCTGGTAAAGTCCAATTGATAGAAATTATCTTTCTTTTAAAAAATATTTTTATTGCTCTAGCTCAGGGGTGGGCAACGCCTGGCACACGTGCCAAACATGGCACACCAGTAACTTTTGCTGGCACACGAAACCCTCTCTTATAATCTTCCATTTACAATTTTTGTGAACATTTGAATGACTTAAATGTTAAATTACAAGGAACTGGCAAGACACTTGATGTTATGTTTGGTTACATAAAGGCTTTTGAAAAGAAACTGGAAGTCTTTAAGAGGGATGTGGGTGGTGAGAGATTTAGATATTTCCCAAACCTCAAGAGGCACATCAAAGGCCTCCCAAAAGATGACAGAACAGACTGTCAAAGCCTTCAAAAGCTGATTTTAAACATCATCAAGGCAACTATTGAGCAGTTCTTCTCAAGATTTGCAAAATTCGGAGAACTGGAAAAAGACAGCAAAATTCATGAGGTTTCCAGACAGCATGAAACTGGAGGAACTAAATTACAAATGTTTTCATGGATAGACATGGCTGACTTTGAAATGCAGTTGATTGAATTTCAGAGTAGCTCAGTTTGGAAGCAGAAATGTATTGACCTTAGAGTTGACTTGGAAAACATGGAAAAAAAGCGATTAGAGACAGGAGTACCAGAGAGAAGTGTCGAAAACGAACTATTGAGCACTTGGAATGCCATTCCAGAAAATTTTTTCTGTTTAAAAAACTTTGCAACAGCGTTACTCTCCATGTTTTCAATCACATATGCTTGTGAATCTTTGTTCTCAGTGATGAATTTTGTTAAGTCTTGTAATAGGAGTAGCCTGACGGATGAAAGTAGTAGCTTGTGCATATCTCTGAAGGTCACGAAATACAAACCTGATGTAAAATCTCTGTCATCAGTGATGCAGCAGCAAAAGTCCCACTGATAGTATCAAACGGAGTCATAAAGTTTTCTGTTGGACTATCAGTGTACATGTATACATTAAAAAATAAATGTATTTTTCATCATCATATACTGTGTTTTTGTCGCTCGAATGAATTTTATTATTTCTTCAAGGTTCTTACATACGTACACCTTAAGAGATATCAAGTAGGCGTAACATGTTCTCAAAAAATTAGGGTTGGCACGCAGAAGAATTTTGAGTCAGAGATTTTGCTGGTTTTGGCCCCCCCTCACAAAAAGGTTGCCCACCCCTCCCTAGCTGGTTTGGCTTAATGGAT